TTTTACTTTTGAATGGTAAAATAATACACTGGATACAAAATTCAAAAAAATAAAACCAAAATAGAAACGAGCTCAGGTGACTGTACCACCGCCAGAATTAACCCACATTTTTCACGACAAAGAAAAAGAGGAGAAGTGAGGAGAAGGAAAATCTTGTTCTTTCTCTCTCTCTCCTTTTTTTTTTTTTTGGTTTTTTGGGGTTTTGCTTCTATCTCAAACTACTGGCTAAAGAAAGCGAAAGAAAGCGAAACTCTGTACACAGAAAAATGGAGAGATTGAAATGAAGAAGAAAGTCGCTCTCCCTAGCGTTCAACACTAACCTTCTTCAAAGTCAAACCTTACCCAAACTCAGGGATGAACTCTTTCTCTTCAACTCCTGGGTTTTTTCTTTCGTTGTCACTTGGATAGAGATCGGGGGAATCGGATGATATTGTTTCCGATCGCCGGCGATCGGAGATGCTCCTGGCAAGTGGCGGAGGTTGTTGGTGGTGATGGTGGTGGAGGAGGAAGAGGAGGAGAAGGAGAGGAGTTGTTTGTTGAGAGGAGTGGCGTAGTGGTTGGAAGAGGATGAGGAAGGGAAAGGGAAGGAATAATGGCTTGTTGCCGAATTCGTTCAGGATAATTTCGTCTTGCCTCAAGACTGTTTCCGCGAATGCTAGCAACGTTGCTTCCACTGTTCGCTCTGCTGGTGTGTCTGTCGCTGCTTCAATCTCCACTTCTGAAGATCATAAAGACCAGGTTATTCTCCCTTTACCTGAGCTCGTCCTTCTGTTTATTTTCCGCCATTATTAGTTTTCCCATGCTTCGATTAAGTAAACTTGATAGTTTGAATAGGCTGTGTGTAGTTGGGGATTGATTTTTGTTTATAACATGCTGGGGCTGCCTTTACATCACTAGCAAATAAGTAATTAAAGAGAATTTTAATCTACCCCTTTTGGGAAGTAAATGAAAGATCACATCTTTACCATGAATCAACTGTGACTATATCTATGCTGTCTTTACTCTGCTTGTTTCTTATGCTGCTTTAGTTTGCAAGATCATGGAGTAGAGAGATCCAGACACCTTCATGTTTAAAGAATGTAAGTTTTAAGGGCTCAGTGTCAAATGGAAGCATTGTTTTGTGCCGGTTTAGAAGAGCATGAATATTCTTTTCAGCAATTTGTGAACAAGGCAGAATATGGGAAGCTATAGTTTTGTACATGGAATGATACTTGTTAGGCTTTCAGGTTCTCTTCTAGCACTTTGGTGCACTTTTCATTTGTCCTCGTTTTCTCTATCTCTGATGATGATAAGCATAATCATGTCGCTTTTGTGATTCTAATGTTTCTAAGATTCTATTTCCATGCCTTATGTGAGATTTAAATATATAGATAGCATTCAACAGTCACTTTTTTGTTTTTAATTTAGATTCAGTGATTTCTCATTCCATGTTTTAATTCTGTTATTCTTCTTTATTTCCCTTTGAAAATAGGCAATGGAAATTCTGTTATTCTTTTTTAGTTGGCATGGTTTCAAAGTTTTGCTTTATGCGTTAATTTTTATTTTGAAATGGCATGTTTGCCTGAATTTATCATTGATTTGGTTTGGTTCTTGAACAGGTAACATGGGCTGGCTTTGATCGCTTGGAACTTGGCCCATCCGTCTTGAAAAATGTTCTTTTGCTTGGTTATCAGAATGGTTTTCAAGTCCTTGATGTGGACGATGCCTCTAATTTTACTGAATTGGTTTCAAAGCGTGATGGCCCAGTTTCATTCTTACAGCTGCAACCGCTCCCTCAGGATTCTGATAGTGAAGAGGGATTTAAAGCATCACATCCTATGCTTTTGGTTGTTGCTGGTGATGATATCAATACTTCAGGCTTGGGTCAAAGTCCTGGTCATCTCAGTGCATCAGCCCAAGATTTTCATGCAGAGTCGCAGTCAGGAAACCCTATCAACTCTCCTACGGCAGTTCAATTCTATTCCCTAAGGTCTCATTGCTATGTGCATGTTTTGAGGTTCAGATCATCTGTGTGTATGGTTAGATGCAGTTCACGCATTATAGCTGTGGGTCTTGCAACACAAGTAAGTGGCAGACTGGTTGGTTCTTATTTTTAAAGCAGGAAATGTTGTCCATGTGGGAGGTTTTATGGCAGAAAGTAGAGCAGTTCTTAGTGTTATTCATTTATCTTAGGCAAGGAGTTGTCAATGGCATAGACATTTTCTACCTCTGATTATAAGTTTTTATTGTGGTTCTAGATGATCCATATGGCTACAGCCTTAATTTTCAAGATAATATGAAGATTGTGCATTTCCCTTCTGATTGTGTTTCTCTTATATTGCTTAGAATCTGACAAACCCTTCTTGTCCTTTGGCAGATATACTGCTTTGATGCTCTTACACTTGAGAATAAATTCAGTGTTCTTACCTATCCTGTTCCCCAGTTAGCAGGACAGGGAGGGGTGGGTGTCAATGTGGGCTATGGTCCAATGGCTGTAGGCCCAAGGTGGCTAGCTTATGCTTCAAATGGTCCTTTTGTGTCTAACACAGGCTGCTTAAGCCCACAAAACCTTACCCCTTCACCTGGTATTAGTCCATCAACATCACCAGGTGGCAGTAATTTGGTTGCTCGATATGCCATGGAATCTAGCAAGCAGTTGGCAGCTGGATTACTCAACCTGGGAGACATGGGATTCAAGACTTTATCCAAGTGCTGTCAAGAGCTGCTTCCTGATGGCTCTAATTCGCCAGTATCACCAAATTCAGTTTGGAAAGTTGGTAGACCAGCAGGAACAGATATTGACAATGCGGGAATGGTTAGTCTTATACTTAGTACTGTCTTCATGTTGCTAATTATCTCATCCAGACTCAATACAGTCTGACCATTATTCTTTGGTTTGGGTGTCTATGTTAAAGGTCAAATATTTCTTTAGATAATGTTGGTCTTAATGCCTAGTTAGATTCAAGGCTGCTCTTCTTCTTCCTGTGTTGTTTTAAGTTACTACAATTGAGTTACTACAATCCTCTCCTTAGTTATCCATTTGATCTTGTCAGTTGCAAACATTGAATGGGAAAAGGAAATGAATATGATATTGTCATGCTAGATTTGAGGAATTGTGAATTATTTTCTATATGGTTACGCTAATAAGAATGTGAGGGAACAAATTTTTTATTTTTCCAATTACTAACTCTTTTTGTTGATGGTTGACTATTAGGTTGTCATAAAGGATTTTGTTTCACGGGCTGTTATTTCACAATTTAAAGCTCATTCAAGTGCAATATCTGCGTTATGCTTTGACCCTAGTGGTACCCTTCTTGTGACTGCTTCTATATATGGCAATAACATAAATATCTTTCGGATCATGCCATCTCATAAGCACACTGGATCTGGTGCTCAGAATTATGACTGGAGCTCATCTAATGTGCATCTTTACAAGCTACATCGAGGAATAACTTCAGCTGTGAGTATACTAGTTTAAAGATCAACATTTTCTTATTTTCACTTGTTCCTCTTGCAGGTTATGTATTCCTGTAGTTAATGCTTGTGTTTATTAACCTGGCAGATGATCCAAGACATTTGCTTTAGTAATTATAGTCAGTGGGTTGCCATTGTTTCCTCAAAGGGGACCTGCCATATTTTTGTTCTATCCCCATTTGGAGGTGACACTGGGTTTCAAACAGTTAATTCTCATGGACAAGAGCCCTCTCTATTTCCGGTTTTGACTCTACCATGGTGGTCTACTTCATCTTCTGTCATTAATAAGCAATCTTTGCCACCTCCACCACCTGTTTCCCTTTCTGTGGTCAGCAGGATCAAGTACAGTAGTTTTGGATGGCTCAACACAGTAGGCAACACTGCTGGTTCTGCAACAGGGAAAGTTTTTGTCCCTTCTGGTGCTGTTGCTTCTGTCTTTCATAATTCTATTTCACACAGTCTTCAGCATGTCAGCTCAAGAACAAACTCATTGGAGCGTCTGCTTGTTTTTACTCCATCTGGTCATGTTGTTCAACATGAGCTCCTGCCATCAATTGGGGTAGAGCCAGGTGACAATGGTACAAGAACTCAGTCCACTTCATATGTTCATGTTCAAGAAGATGACTTGAGGGTGAAAGTTGAACCTCTTCAATGGTGGGATGTGTGTAGAAGGTCTGATTGGCCAGAAAGAGAGGAATGCATAAATCAGACAAAGTTTGGGAGACAAGATGGTGCTGTAGTGATTCCAAAAACAGCAGGTTGTGAGAATACTTATGGAATGGATTTTCTGGAAATTAATGAAAGTTTGGGTGGAAAAAAGACTTCAAAAATGTTTTCTGTGAAGCCCCATGAGAGATCACACTGGTATTTCTCAAATGCAGAGGTGCAAGTGAACTCTGGGAGGTCACCTATATGGAAAAAGACAAAGGTACTTGTTCTATTATAAGATGCAGTGCTTATAGTTTTGATATATCATTGGGATTAATTTTTTGTTTCTTACAGATTTCCTTCTATATGATGGACTCCCCAAGAGCCAATAATCAAGGTGGAGGAGAATTTGAAATTGAGAAGGTCCCTGTCCGTGAAGTTGAAATCAGATTCAAGGAATTATTGCCTGTTTTTGACCATTTCCATGGTATCAAATCTGGTTGGAATGATAGGTAATCATTTTATCCATGCCCTCCAGCCAGTTGTTCAACTCTATTCTTGAATTTTGTCAGTGGATATTGATTTGGACTTAGTGGAGTCTTTAAGTTTATGAGTTTTCATTTACTTATTTATTTCAAAGGTTATGGATGTTGGCATCACATGATTGTGTACAAACTTTTCCATGGTAGCTATTATTTTCCAGTTCCTATGAGTCTTTGGTTTTTTTTTGGTTGGCATGGCACAAGGAGAAGTTTTATTAAAATGGATGGAGTACAAGATGTATTCCAGTCTCTTTACACTGGGCTGGAGTAAATAAAAAGCCCCAAAAAATCAAGAACAAACAAAGAAGTAGAACAGAAAAGGCAAGTCTTGCTTGTTGACTCACTTGACTCTTTACCACAAACCATAGAGGATACTTTTCTTGTCTTGTTTTTAAACAAAGCATGGAGCCCCCAAAGAGAGTTGTGGACTATGGCTTCTTGATTTCTTACCACTAATGTAATTCATACCCCATAAGAAGAGATGTTATGAGAATATGGTTTCGTGAATGTTGATCTCTCTCAGTGTTACTATAGTGGCTTAGATGGCTTTTTTCGTTTTCCATATCAAAATTTGTTGACAGGAGATCTTTGGACCTTTTTCTTAATGTATGTATTTTCCGTTGTTCATGTGATATAGATGTTTTACTGTGGGAAAACATCCTCAATCTCTGGAGCCTCATCAAGGTGAATACAATGTTAGACAGGAGACCATTACTTGTCACTCAAAGCCAGCATCCCTTAGTTCCACTGAAAGTTCTGAAGGAGGTAAGCTCATATTTCATTGCTCAAAAGTGGATTTGATGTGCCATTATAATAATTTTCTTTGGAAATTGTGTCATTTTTTGCGCTTTGCAATTAGGTTCATCAAGGAGAATGGAGAATCTACTTGATTTGGATCAGATGAACTATGAGAAATCTTATCCACCAATTTGTCAGATTCTGAATGAAATTTGCCTGGTAAAAAATGGGAGCAACTTTGTTGAGCCATCCTTTCTGATTGAGGAATCCATAACAATTAAATCCTCTCTGTTTGAACATTCTGAGACTATAAATTCCAGTGCTGGGGAATCCATCAGAAATGGTTTGCCCTCTCTAGAGAGCAAGTCAGCTCCTCCTTTAGGAGGCATAGCTGAAGGAGCATCATCTTCAGATGCTGGTGATCTCACAATGTTGGGTATTAACCATTTTGATTCAGATGGGAAAACTACGATGGAGGCTCCAGCATTTTCAACGACACAGAATCTGGTCGGTTTGGGGGTTTTGCGGGAAGACCACTATGAAGCAGCTTGCAACAACGAATGCAGCAAGTTGACTGAAGTTGTAAATGATGATGTTGAGAGCAGCTGTAGCCAATCCGAGAGGGAAAAACTTGAAGAGGATGGAGAAAATGATGAAATGCTTGGTGGAATATTTGCCTTTTCAGAAGAAGGTAAAAACCTGAAGCTAAAAACTACAACATTTCCTTGTGTAAGGACACCAATTTCTCTACCTACGTAATAATCTATTATTTTGCTCTTTGCAATGGTGAATCTTTTGGCAGGTTGATCTATGGAAGGAACTGGATCCATGACATGCACTCAAAATGTTACAAAAGGCTTGGTTCAAAGCAAATAAACTCGCTAGCAATTTTATTGTTTGATTATATCACGGTGCATTGAGAATTTGAATAAGAGGGGTGCTTAAAGGATTGGCAATCAAGGCTTGATTTTTACAGGAGCTTGCGTGCAACCATCTCACGCTTGTACATTTTGTATATCAAAACCCGAAATGTGAAAAGGGCCAACCAACCAGTAAAACCCAGGTTTGGCATCTGGTCCCTGTTGTGCTATCAAGCTTTCATATGTACAGATATGTTGTGAAAAACTCTGTTTCTTTTCTACCAAGAGGGAAAAGAAAAGAAATGAAAAGAAGGTAAATATATATTTGGTGGGTTAAGTTCTCAGATTCTTCTTCTTTGCTGCTTCTACAGAGTTGTTTCATATTTTTAACATTTAAAATCTTATCTTGGAATAATTTCCCAAGGTATCATGAAGCTTAGTGATGTATACTGTGTTATCCTATGCTCATATATTAATGTGTAAATGGACAATGACATGGGTTTTAGGTTATTATATGTGGGGTTAGTAGTTTCTAAGGGTACCATTATATTGGACGGAAGAAATTAAAGTGGGTGAGATTTGATTCTTCTAAAGGGCTTTACTAGGATTGAGAAGAGAAAGATTCCAATGGTAAGAAGTTGATTTCAGATGCAATGGTAAAAGGGAAAACGCAACTAAAAAAGTTAAAAGACTTTTAATAATAGTCTCATGATCATTTTGATAAATTTATATCTTATATTGTATTTTATATATTTAATAATTATAATTAAATATTTTAATTTTTTAATATCAAAATATTTTAATTTTTTAATTTTTTAAGGTAAAAAGTGATCATATAAAAAATAAACGTAAATGAAAAAAGGTTTTTATGGTATTTTACGTTGAAATTTAAATATTTTAATAAAAAATAAAATGATATATTTTATAAATTAAATTTATTGTCTCATTAAAAATTTGATCAAACTAGTTATTATAAGTTAATTGTTTTATTTAAGGGTATATTATTACATCATAATTATTAAATTTATTTCTGTCATTAACTTATAAATAAAAGTTACATGACTATGAGTTTTATAAATGAGACATATTTTTTTTACTCTAACAAAAAAAAGGGAGAGAAGTTCCTTGATATTCTTTTTTTTTTTTTTTACCTTATTTTATCTTCTAGATATTATTGAGTAAAGAATGGTGTTTTGAATTAGATGATTTTTTAATAATACAGATTTATAAAGTGTTATTATAAAATTGTAATATTTTAAAAACGACATATTATACATATATACTTCTGTTGCATTAGTCAATTTACATTTTGTAGAGACGTGAATTGCTTTAAAATAAGTAAGGCTTTTATGCTTAGATTAGTAATATTTTATTATTGATATTTTTTTGATAAATTTATTAATTATTATTTTATTTAATTTTGTAAGTGAGGGACAATAATAACATGAAATGGAGGCAAAAGACAGCTTTGGAGGAACAACATTTTGAAGGACTTTTTTTTTTTTTTTTCTGGGCGTCTTTCCGAGGCCTAATTATATCTGGAAAATTTTCAGAGTCCAAATGATTAGTGTAATCTCTAATAATTTTGCCCAAAAATCACCCCATGACTTTCTGATTTGGTTGATTAAATTTTTCAGGAAGAAGGCATTTCCCCAGTTGACCACTTTGCCATTTGGCTTTCCCCGAAAGTGCCTTTTGGAAAAAGGTGACTAATAGCCTGTTTGGTGTGGCGTGAGAGTTTTTGTTTTTTTAAATATTATTATGAGTAATAAATTTAAATATTTATTAAAAAAAATTTTAAAAGTTATTTTTAGAAATAAGAAAAAATAAGTAAAAAGAGAATTTATGAAAAATTTGAATTTAAAACTTTTGAATTTTTACTATTTAAGATCTTTTTAAGGTTAAAAAAATTTTAAAACATAAGTTTTTAAAAGAAAATTTTAAATTTAAATAATATTAAAAAATTAAAACTCCTAAGAGCTCCACCAAACAAGCCCTCCACCAAACATGCCCTCCACCAAACATGCCCTAAAAATATCTTTCAAAGCTAGAAATTTATAGTATGTTTGGTAAAATTTATAGGGGTTTTATATTTTTGATATTATTCATATTTCATAAATTTAAAATTTAAAAAAAAAGTTTATATTTTTTAATTTTTTAACTTTAAAAAAACCTAAAGAATGAATTTTAAAAAGTTTCAAACTTTTATTTTTTAGAAATTTTATTTTTACTCACATTTTAATTATTTTTAAAGATAATTTTTAAATTTTTCCTCCAATAAAAATATAAATTTATAAGTTATGACTCATAAGTAGTATTATCAAAGTAAAAACTCTAAAAACCTCCATCAGATAAGCCCTTATTTTGATTGAGTAAAAGGTGTATTTATTTTTATCAGCGACTAAAACGTATTTGTTTTAGTGTTGTACCAATAATTATATGTTATGAACTTTAAATACAAATTAAATACTTTAAAATAGTTATTTTTAAAAAAAAAATCTCATTAACAATCAATTATTTTTGAACAATTATTTTTTAAAGGAAATTCTACATAAAAAAATAACCCACTATTTTAAACAATTATTTTTCTTAAAAATCTTATTCAAAAAATTATCAATTATATTTAAAAATACTCTCTCCATCTCAAAATACCTGTTATTTTTTTGATTTTTTTAAATTAAAAATTTAAGGATAACATTAGTATTTATTTATAATACTCTTAAATAAATCTCAAAATACCTGTTATTTTTTTGATTTTTTTAAATTAAAAATTTAAGGATAATATTAGTATTTATTTATAATACTCTTAAATAAAAAATAAAAGATAAAAAATTTTTATAGTTAGATAATTAATTAAAGTAAATAAATAATATAGTTAAAGTAAAAAATATTTATTTATTTTAAAAATAAAAATAATAATTAATTGAAAACAAATTTAAAATAAAAAATTATTATTTTAAAATAAAAAAATAAAAATTTACATAGTATATTTATCAATTATACATTCAATAAAACACTTTGAGAAAAAATCAAAATAATTTATTCTCACTCTAACAAATAAAGTGTTTAATTATTTTTTAATTAAAAATTATATAATTTTGACACTTTTTTTTTTCTTAATTTTTTAAAAGATCGGTAAACACTTTTTCGATTCCACTTTATGCTGAATAATCAAGCATTCAGAAATTTTTTAAGATTTGAGACTTATCATAACAAACTCTATCAACTTTATTCTGGGAGTAGCACCTATTCAGGAATTCAGCTTTTAGAATAACAAACAAACATTCCCTAACCTTAAATTTGGAAATCTTTTAACCAAATTGCAGTAATCTCTGTGTATTCCCTGACCTCACAAACGAATATTGCTTTTGGTTTAGAAAGTCAAATTGCTGGAGTTTCCTTTTCACACACACATATACTCGAACAAAACGCCTCCGCCGGAATCAAAGTTCAGAACTTTACAGAAACCCCTTTCGCCGGTTCGCCTCGCAGACTCTTTCTAGAGTGATTACCAGGCCAAGTTAGCAGCTTCAGCCATGGATGTTGTCAGTCAGCTGCAGAGACAGTTTGTTGACTACACTACATCGCTGTATCGTGAGGTCAGTACCTGTTCTTTTGATCTCCTTTTTAAAAAAAATATATAATAATAATTATGCAGTACATGATGCTATTAGAAAATCCCTTCATGGGTTTGTTCTTTTAAGGCCCCTGTTTGATTCCCTTGAAAGTATTGCTAGTAAATTACATTTCATGTCAAGGGAAACTGAATTTGGTATGGGAGACAAATTAGTGCGGTGGGGTGGGGTGGGGTCTTGTTTGATTAACTTTGCTGGGAAAATCTTTCCGTTTTCCCTGGTGACAAACGGGATTTTGTTATATGCTTTTTCTCTTGTCGGAATTTTGGCTGTGGTGTGTTGATGGGTTGTTGTTGGTATTATGAAGGGATTTGTGGATGATCAGTATACTCAGCTTCAAAAGCTGCAAGATGAAAGTAGTCCTGATTTCGTGGTGGAGGTTGTCACTCTCTTCTTTGAAGATTGTGAGAAGCTTATTAACAATATGGCTAGAGCTCTGTGAGCATTTTTGTCTTACCTTTCGTTATTCCTTTCTTCAATTTCTTCAGTCTGCTTGGTAGTGCTAATTGATAATTGGAATCTTTCATAATGCTTCAGGGAACAGCAACAGGGTGTGGATTTCAAACAGGTTGATGCTAGTGTCCATCAACTCAAGGGTAGCAGTTCCAGGTATTTGTGGACATTTCCCTTTTTCTCTGTTGACTTTCTTCTTTATTTACAAAATTCTGTAGAACTGAATTTCTTTTTTTTTTTTTTTAATCAACTGTAAACTGAATTTTTAAGTGCTGCTGCTATTAGGGAAACCCGATTATGTGATTTTCTGCATCCTGCCATTTGTTTAGAATAATGTTTCAAAAGAAAATCAGTCTGATTATTATTTCAATTCATCTTTTTGGATAATATTTACATGTTAATTCTTTTTTATCCATCTAGTTGTCAATTAAAGTGTTTGACAAGGGTGTTTATTTCTATGGTTAACAGTATAGGTGCTATGCGAGTTAAAAATGTGTGCGTTGCATTTAGACCTTGTTGTGAGGCCCAGAACCGAGAGGGGTAAGTCTTGCTTTTGACCTATGCTGCCTTTTCTCTCTTTTACTTCTATCATGTGTGTGTTATTCCTGCTTTCTCTTGTAAACTTTTTGAAAACTGAAAAGCTTTTAAGAAGAAAGAGCGGCTACTAATTTATGCATCAGTTGACTAGTTATTAACGCCAGAATTGTGTATTCTATTGCAAAAGGCCTTAAAACTCTAGTATGACCAATCCTGCAACACTGGGCAAATAACATATGTTCTGCTTTGACTTTATTTAGAAAATTGACTTGTTTCAAGTTTCATATAACCAGTGGGTGCTTTTTTATTATTATTTTTTTTTCTTTCTTTTATCTAAGTGATTTAAAACTTACATGCTGGTAGCATTCTACTTTACCTTTTTTAATATATAGTTGCTGTACTTTTGAATGAAGGGTTCATAACTGCTATTGGCTAGTGTGAGAGATCAAGTACTGAGACACCGTTTGTTGTTTGCACTAACATGCAATTGTATTTCATGAAACTTACTGGATATGATTTGCTTTTGTTTGTTGCCTTTCAATAAAAAATGCGACCATGATGAAAAGAATGAGCTGCACCCCAAGCTTATTAACTCTTTAATTAACATTGGTGCAGGTGTTTGAGATGCCTGCAACAGGTGACTCATGAATACTCTGTGTTGAAAAACAAGCTTCAAACTTTATTCAGGGTAAGTGCAGGAAAGTTGAGCAAAAATGAGATTGTAGGTTACCTGAATGTTTTTTATTGTCTGAGGAGAAATCTTCACTTCATTTGAAAGCTCAAGTTCCACTTGAGAAAACAAACTTATTATGTTTATGATTCTCTTTAAGAATATGATTTCCTGCTTAATTCATATGTTTGTATTTGTGTCAATGTTTCAACTTCTGTGGTATAGAAAGTAGAAAAGTTCTTCTCATTTACCCTTTTCTAGGTCTGATAATGTCAGTCCAACAGCTTGCCTCAGTCAATTTCAGCCTCCACTCCCAATTGTGTGTTTTAACTTTATTTTGTTCATCTTTTGATCTTTTCAGCTGGAGCAGCAGATCGTTGCAGCTGGTGGATCAATTCCAGTCATTGAATAAAAAACCATGCATAGAACTAAAAAAGGAGCCGTTGCAGTTATATTATCTTCTTTGTTAAACAAAGGAGACTGAATAGTAGATATTTCAGAAATCTTTTCTTGTTAGATTTTTGTAGTTCTTAATTGAAGGAACTTTGACTTAATGGATGATTTTACTTGGGTTCATGTCAAAGCCTGTCCAAGGCAGTGACAATGTGAATAAGCATTTTTACCTCTCCACAGCAGAACCGTATAATCCCTGCTCTTTTCTCTAGTTGTTCTGTGTCAGTGCTCCAGTTCTGTTCAGTCAATCCAATCAATGGCTAATATGTCATGCCATGGTTGTGGCGTAGGATTAAATCCTGGTATATGAAATCTCTGATCTTTTTAGCAGTAGTATGCCTGTATTTTGTATGTATTTCTCTATTTTGATATATGTGTGTATCAAAACCAAGCATCATTTGTTGGACCCTGGGACCGCGAGAATGCACATCATAAGCATGCATTTCATTTCTGCAAAGTGAACGTAGATAAATTCCTGCACAATGTGGTCCAAATATCTAAATGTTCCAAGCTGTTGAACTCTTATTCAGCTTAGTTTTGCACCATTGGATTACACAGACCATGACTGGCATCCTTGTCTTTTTACAAATTGGTATGTTTCTTTAGATTTTGGGGCATTTTTTGATCTTCACAGATTTGTCAGCTTTTCACAAACAATTTGTAGAATTGACAGAGAGACAGAATGAGAAGGTTCATAAGCAAAGGAAAGGACATGACTGGATGAAAGTGACTGGAAATGAGCAAAATGCAAAAGCAAAGATTTTGGCTCTCCAAAACCAAACCCCCAAATCCCATGCCACAATATCATGCACTTTGTGCTGCAATAGAATGATTGAGGGTAATAAGTATTCAGGGTTGTTGAGTCTGGCCTTTGACTGGTCTGCGCCCAGGCGGTCCAGGGTAGATCGCGGTGGTGCCATCTTTAGTCAGGTGAGATAGCAATCACCAGTGCTGTTCTCCACATGAAACGAAATTTAACATCGTGGGGGCCAAGGGAAGCACGGTGGGTGGAATTTATTGAAGAA